ATGACAAAACTAATGAATCCAGGACAAAAAAACTTCAGCTTATTTAGTGCTGAAGTTTTTATAAATGAACTAAATAACTTCAGCATCTTCTGCTGAAGTTTTTGAAAAAGCTTAATGACAAAACTAATGAATCCAGGACAAAAAAACTTCAGCTTATTTAGTGCTGAAATTCAGCAATTACAAACAAAAACTTCAGCAAATAGAGAACAAAACTTCAGCTACTATGCTTAAGTTCAACAATTACAAACAAAAACATCAGCAAATAGAGAACAAAACTTCAGCTACTATGCTTAAGTTCAGCAATTACAAACAAAAACTTCAGCACACTTGGTTCAGCAATTTTTGCTACTTCAAGCCCGTCTACTAGAATGCTGAAGTTTTGCGTGATTGCCTTTGTTACTTCAGCCCCGCATGCTGAAGTTACGCGAAAAAGTGGGTACACTTGCAATTTTTTTTTGCAAAGTGGGCACAAGTTAAAACGTGACCCAAAAAGCGGGTAAAGATGCAAATGCCCCACCAAATAGGGCGCCCCGTGCAATTTTTACCACGTAAGCCCTTCAGACGGCCCAATAGCTCGATATTGCTAATCCGTTCAAGCTTAACTCTAGTTTGAAGCATTTGTTCTCTCAACACTAAATCTTACAAATTGCTTCGTCAATAACCAGAAAAGGTTACAATTCAATAGCCTAAAACAAAAATTAAAATTGAACTCAACAAACTTGATAACTTAATGAACAAATTAAACACTCGTCCAACTTGTTCCTTTTCTCTAGAACTCTCAATACAAGAATGCTTTCAATTGTTCTCTATTGTTCTGGAATAAAAATGGACGTGCGCAGTGCGTACATTGCTATCACGAATAACCTGAGCTTAATAATTGCAAAATCCGACTGAGCATGAAATTAAAAAAATTTGGAAAACTTTTGATACTTATAGTAATAAATATGTCATACCATAATATGACTATAAATTTTTAAAGCGTGTCACTTTAAATATGCCATGACATTTCAATTGTTCTCTACAGCCTGGAAGAAAAATGGACGTGCGTAGTGGCTCATTGCTATCTCGAATAACCTGAACTTATATAAGTGCAAAATTTGACTGAGCATGAAATTAAAAAAATTTGGAAAACTTTTGAAACTTATAGTCTAAAATATATCATAATATTATATATGTATGGGATAAAATTGGTTAGCAACAGGTGGATGAATGACGAGGTGACACGTGTATTTGAAAACAGGTAATATATGAGTCAGCAAATGATTGACATCAGATACAAACATGAGTTCAATGCTGTGTAATTCGAAGGCATGAAAACCGGTAACAAAGATTTAAAAGGAGGACATCGGTTGAAAAAGATAGCATTCAATGAACAGCCATTACAAAGAATCTCTATATTAATAGCCAACCATTATGCAACCACCAATGGCGGTTTTATTCTCATTCAAGAGGAGTTTGTTTGGGTATCTTGTCTCCCTAAATAAAGTTATAAATAGGAGAAGTAGTATTCATGATAGGGCACGAAAAACCATCTAAACGCAAAGGCTATAATTTGCTCTCTATTATAAAGTTACTTACTTTTCTCTTGTTCCTAACATTGTTCTTATTCTTGCTTCCGGAGAGACTCATCATATAGTGAGACTTGTATTTCCTTTAAGTTATTTTATAATCTTGTTTCTGTTCTTACTTATTTCATATTTTCGGATTAAATTATTTTACGTGTCTATAAACCACGTTACAAATTCAACTGTACCATTTTACGGGTAAACACTTTGGCGTTCAATATGGGGCATAAACAATTATGTAATAGCTTTGATCCATTCATCTGTTACTAACAAAGCTTGATTTGTTTCTTAGTAAGAGAAAAATTAGATATGATAACTAACGATAGGAACAATTCCTATAATGTACAACGAACGTGAGGATGCGTTCCGACATGATGATTCAACTAGCGAAACTCGCAATGAAGGAGGTGAAACAACTCCAGTTCACGAAGGTCAAAATCCACGGCATGTGAGAAGTCCAACTCCTAATGATATGGATGATGAACACGTTGTTGATACGGTCAAAATCTTGAGAGAGCAACAAAGGCAAATTATGAATCACCTCTCAAGACAAGATCGGGTGATGACAAAATTGAAGCAGGCACTTTCAGTTGCTTCCATTAACTCTGATGTAGGAGTTCAGATTCCTCCCAATGTCCCTGTAAATCAAACAGCTTAAAGAACGGTAACAACGCTCCATGGGAGGAGTTCGGTTTTAACGAGGCAGGAGGTACCGGTAGTGGATCCGGGAATGACAACAACGCTAATGATCCTTTCAAAATCGAGCTTATGAGAATTATGGGGGGAGACAAATAAGCGAATGGACCAAAATGCTAAAGAATTCCATACTTAGATGGATCAGATCTCGGAAGCGCCACCGGTGCTAAACGGATCGGATTCCAAAAAGTATACACAGTTTTCGTTCAAATCATGTGTGGCCCTAGAGTTGATTCCAAAAAGATTCAAGATGCCAAATATCCAAAAGTATGATGGGACTTCGGATCCACATGATCATATCACGACATGCACTACAACTGTAAAGGGAAATGACTTGGCCCCGCATGAGATCGAATCTGTTTGTTGAAATTTTTTTTGTCAAAGCCTAACGAAGGGTGCTTTAACTTTGAATTATCTTTTACCTGAGCATTCCATTAATTCTTTTGAAATGCTTGCAGATTCTTTTATTAAATCTCATGTTGGAGCAAAAAAAAGTCCAAGCTAGGAAGGCGGATATATTCAGAATCGCCCAAGTAGAATCCGAACTATTGCGAGAGTTCGTGATCCGGTTGCAAAAAGGAAAGGATGTTATTGCCGGCAGTACCGGATGAGTGGACAGCTGAAGCATTTATGAAGAGTCTCAATCCATTGAGTTCCGATGCTTCCAAGAAGTTGAAGGAAAGTTTGTTAGAATTTCAGGCAACCACTTGGGCAGATGTCCACAATCGCTATGAATCAAAGATAAGAATAGCAAATGATAGTGGATCACGGTCAGAGCAACAGAGGTTTCAGGAGAAAGAAACATCGGAGTCCCGAGATTCAGCGTACCCCTGATTATTTGACTACAACTTTAATATCAGTTTAGTAGAGTTGGTGTCCGCTATGAGAAACATTAAGGAGGCTAGGTTTCTGAAACCAATTCGATCGGATCCTAGTCAGAGAGATCCTAAACTATAGTGTGAATTCCATGGGACACAGGGTCACAGGATTGGGGATTGCCAGCACCTATGGGAAGAGGTTGCAATGTTGCTGAAAAATGGTCACCTTAGAGAATTTCTAAGTGATCGAGCAAAAAATAACAATGGGAAAAATCGGGACACTGGGGAGCCAGCTAAACCGACTGCAGGGTCACCTCGTATGACAATAAACATGATTTTTGGAGGTGATGAGGTAATTGGGGTGACATTTTAAGCAACAAAGAAGACAAATATATCGGTAACTCATGGGAAAAGGATCCGAGAATCTTCAGAAGATGACATCACTTTCACAAAAGAGGATGCTGATGGACTTCTTCTACCGTACAACGATGCTCTGGTAATATCTCTTAATGTCTTAGATTTTAAAATTAAATGTGTGTTGGTTGATCCAAGTAGTTCAACCAATATCATACAATGGAGAGTTCTAGAGCAAGCAAAGTTAACCGGAAACATATTTTCGACAACAAAGATTGTGGACGGAAATAACTTAACAAGTGTAATGACCCGGGGAGAGATTCTACTGCCCACACATGCCGAACACATAACGAAGACAACTTTGTTTGAAGTGGTAAATGGCGAGATCCTCGGAAGGCCTTGGATACATGAAATGAAGGCTGTGTCGTTAACTTATCATCAATTGCTGAAGTTTTCTATGCCGGAGGGAGTCAAGCAGATCAGAGGAGATCAACCGGCTGTAAGGGAGATGAATGCAGTGACCATTTCCAGTAGTAAGGAAAAAAAGCAAATAGCAATTACAGGAGTTGGTGCCCTCTTTCACCCCGATTGAAGATAATGTAGAAGATGAGTCATCAAATTTTTATCAGATACCGAGGTCTTTTTAGGTACCGGAGGAAACTGATGCGATCAAATCAACCGGCTGCAAGAGAGATAAATACAATGACCTTGTCCAGTACTAAGGGAAAATAAATAAGCAAATAGCAATTACAGGAGTCGGTTCCCTCTTCCACCCCGATTGAAGATAATGTAGAAGAGGAGTAATTGGATTTTTATCAGGAACCGAGGTCTTTTCAGGTACCGAAGGAAACATATGCGATCAAATCAACCACTGAAGAGCTCGAACAAGTGGACTTGTTCACGGAGTTCTTAGAAAGAAAATTCCACTTAGGAACGGGGTTGATTCCCGAACTCTGACTAAAAATTATAGATTTTCTAAAAGCTAACATCGATTGTTTTTCGTGGTAACATTCAAATAAGACAGATACCCTATTAGAGTTGGCTATCCACAAGTTAAGTTTGGATCCTAACTTCCCTCCGATAAGGTAGAAAAAAAAATGACTGATAGCATAGATCAGAAACAGGTTTGTCAAAGAAGAGGTAACCCGATTATTAAATATAGGTTCAATTCGAGAGGTAAATTACTCCGATTGGGTAGCTAACATAGTGGTAGTACCACAGAAGAATAATAAATTTAGAATGTGTGTATATTATAAAGATTTAAATAAGGCATGCCTTAAGGACTCTTTTCCGTTGCCAAACATTGATCAGATGATTGATGCTACGGCAGGGCATGAGTTAATGAGCATTTTTGACGCATATTCCGGGTATAATCAAATTAGGATGCACTCGAAAGATCAAGAAAAAACCTCATTTATTGCAAATTTTGGAACATATTGCTATAATGTGATGATCGTCGGGCTTAAAAATGTCGGAGCCACTTATCAAAGGCTCGTTAATAAAATGTTTGAATAGAAAATTGGTAAAACAATTAAGGTTTTAATTGATGACATGTTGGTCAAAGCTCTTAATGCCAGTGATAATCATCTACAAGAGACGTCTGACATTATCAGAAAGTACAACATGAAGCTCAATCCTGAAAATTGCGATTTCGGGGTTGGTTCTGGAAAGTTTCTGGAGTTTCTGGTCTCTCAAAGACGAATTGAAGTAAACCCAATAAGATCAAAGCCATCGAGCATATCCCAGATCAATTAACTAGTATGAAGGAAGTACAAAGGTTGACCGGTAGGTTGGCGGCTCTAAGCAGGTTTATCTCAAGATCTTCGGAGAAATTCCATAATTTCTTTTCGCTTTTGAAGAAGAAGAACAATTTTGTGTGGACCATGGAGCCAGCAAGCATTGAAAGACCTAAAAAGGTACCTGTCTAGTCCTTCGTTGTTGTCAAAACCGTTGGAAAGTGAACAATTATTAATTTATCTAGCGGTTTCGGAAGTAGCGGTAAGTGCTGTTTCAGTCCGGGAGGAGGAAGGTGCGCAATTTTCTGTTTATTATGTTACTAAAGTTTTATTGGGAGTGGAGACACGTTTTCGCACCTTGAAAAGTTGGTCTTAGCTCTCGTAGTCGCCTCTCGAAAGCTTAGGTCATATTTTCAATGTTATCCCATAGACGTTGTGACGACTTTTCCCTCGAGGAATGTCTTTCATAAACGTGAATTATCAGGTCAATTGAATAAATGGATAGTCGAGGTTAGTGAATTCGACATTGAATATAAATTAGGGTTGCGATCAAGTCACAAGTTTTGGCCGACTTTGTGGCTAACTTTAGTCAGGGATTGATGCCATTAACTGCTAAAGAAGCAGTGCTGGTATCGGGGACTGTATCGGGTTTTTAAACCTTGTTTACAGATGGAGCTTCCAACGTAAAAGGGTCCGGTCTCGGGATAGCACTAATCACCCCTTCGGGAGAAACCCTGAGACGGGCCACTAGAACTGTACCATTAACTAACAATGAAGTCGAGTACGAGGCTTTGGTTGTAGGACTTGAATTAGCTCGGGGACTAGGCTCCGAGGTGATTGAAAAAATTTGCAACTCCCAGCTGGTAGTGAATCAAGTGTATGGAATTTTTGACACCAAGGAAGAGCGCATGCAAAAGTACTTGAATAAGATTCAGGTATTACCTTTGCCGGTTCAGGGAATGGTCGATCATCCACATTTTGAGAGAAGAAAACATGGAGGCAGACTGTCACGACCCCAGTTCGCCCTCCGTGAACATGTCGTGACGGCACCTAGTCCCTAGGACTAGGTAAGCCTAACAATGCGGAAGATAAACCATAATTGTGGAAGAAAGTAAATAAAACTGAACTAGTAAAGTAAAATGGTGTTTAAGGTGCCGCTCGGCACATACCAGAACAATTCTCGAAGCTAACAAAATTCCCAAAACCCGGAAACTCACAAATCACAAGCTAAGGGATACCTAAGGGGCTCTGACTCAAGAATTCTATACAAAGGAGAAATACTGAAGGAGCTATTCTTATTACAGAAAGCTGGAAAGGGACTCCTCGGTCTGCGGACATAGCAGATATACCTCGAAGTCTCTACCGATACGCCTCCTTCCAAGGCTAACAGAACTGAGTGGGGGTACCTGTATCTGCACAACAAAAATGTGCAGAAGAGTAGCATGAGCACACCACGGCGGTGCCCAGTAAGTATCAAGACTAACCTCGGTGGAGTAGTGACGAGGAACAGTCAAGACACCTAGCGGTCAAATAAACAGCATAATCATAGGAATAATGGAAACAATATATAATATGTAAAGACTGCATGAATGACCAAGAATGCTACAATTCACAACAAGGGAAATGGACAATAAGTAACGACGAGAATATAATAAATGATGATATGAAATGAAAGCAGAATCACAATCCAAATCCTAAGGTCACAACACAGCAAGGGGAAAACAAGTCAATAACTCCTATCCTACAATGATGTTCACATAAGATCTTATTCAACCCTTTCAACAATTGTACCAAGTTTCGGACAAACCACAACTCACGACAACCCGGCATCTGAAATCTAACTCTTAGCATCCTATGCCCCATCAATCTCACGGTCATGCTGACAACTCACTGGCTAACTAGGGGCACTCTCACGTATAAAATGGATAAACGAGGGCGTACCTCCACCCTTAGCAAAATCAGGAGGAATTCACCTCTAATAGGAGTGTTCATCTACGTGTATGCTTGTGCGAGTGTTTTTACTAAGAATTCTACCAACTAGTAGACATGAAAAGGAGAACGGACCGCACGTACGATGTTTCCTCACATTCCAAGCGGTAAAGCTCATACAGGTAAACAACCCACAATCACAATATTAAACAAATAGGGATGCCTCCACAGGCCGTCACAATTCTTTACAATCAACCACTGACATAGCCCACCTTATTACGCCACGCGTGCAAATAATAATATAATAGGCACCGCCTTATTTCGCCACACGTGCATCACAATGTTCCCACCTTATTCCGCCACATGCGCAACCCACATATAAGCATATAACATATCCCGCCTTATTACGCCGCATGTGCAAAACATCAATAGCAATAATAGCACGACAAAGACCTCGTGCAACCCTTCAACAACAACCGCACGGCAGAGACCTCGTGCATCACAATATCAACGACAGCACGGCAAAAACCTCGTGCATCATAGTATCAACGACAACACGACAGAAACCTCGTGCATCATAGTATCAACGACCGCACGCCAGAAACCTCGTGCATCATAGTATCAATGACCACACAACAAATGACAATATATACAGGAACAAAGCAAGAGAATCAACTTAGGTATTTCCGTTCACCAAAAGACGGTACAACTAACTCATAAGGAATAACCGTAATAGAGAAATACTAAGCGCAATAAGAACAACTCAACAAGGAGAAATAATACGAAACAACGATTCCAAAATACTCAGTTCAACAACAAGGAAGTTAACATGAATCAAATAATTACAATTAAGGAAATATCAACTAAACATAGGATATCTATCTTCTTTCCAATTAAGACCAATCAATTACACGAGAGATAGAAATAATGCTTTCTAGATAAAGACAAGGAGTTAGGAATGATAATGTGACTATAGAAGGGTAAATGTCTACAGTTAACAAGTAAAGGTCAATTAGGCAACAAGAATAACCAAAAAGGGCAGATAAATTCCAAGTAAGTCATGTAGAGGTGAAACAAATAACAGGAAACTCAATCGTATCAAGAATAACTTCATATTCGGTAATTTCAAGGATCTAAGAGCCTAAAAGGGGCAATTTTCCACAAATAAATCCGAGCACGCACTCGTCACCTCGCGTACAAGGAATACAATCAACAAAGAAGACTCAAATCCTAAGGCGAAGGCCCCCACACAAGGTTAGGCAAGATACTTACCTCGAACCGGCTAAAATCAACTAGCAACCACATTCTTTCCACGAGTACTCGACTCCAAATGGCCCAAATCTATTCAATTAAATCACACATTGTAATAACATCTCAAGCAACTGATTCTACTGTTTAATTCAAAGCTAAAGCGCGAAATTAGGCATGTCACACCTCCTTTTTTCACTACACCCCCGGAATAGGGTATAATAAAGGGATTTATTTTCAACTTGAAGTGACAATCGAAACGGGATTTATTTTTAAAAATCAGAGTCGCCACTTGGGAGATTTATGGTGTCCCAAGTCACCGGTTTAGAATCCCGAATCGAGGAAAGATTTGACTCTGTTTATGTCTGCGAACCAGAAATCCGGGTAAGGAATTCTGTTAACCTGGGAGAAGGTGTTAGGCATTCCCGAGTTCCGTGGTTCTAGCACGGTCGCTCAACTGTTATAATTGACCTATTATCTGATTTTAATACATGTTCAAACCTAGGTGCATTTTAACTTTTAACCTCTTTATTTAGTTATTTTTAAGGAAAATTGCAACGTCATTTAAAATATGTCTTGAACCACGTCACATAAATGCACCCGCAGTTCGCAACACATTTTATCTAACGTTGAAATTTAGATTTGGGTCACATAAATGCGCACCCGAGTTTAGGAAAGT